AATCTGATCCGAACGTTAAGAAAAGAAACATCTCACAACACAAATATACAGCCGATACCTATAAAACAATGGAAAGAAAACTACGCAAAAGAACTAAAATAAGACAGAGAAAAATATATTTTATACTCCCCTGAGCATTGCACTATACAAAGAGAATACATAATCATCGACGAAGATGACATACAAAAAGCACTAAAATCCATGAAGAATAAAAAAGCAAAAGGACCAGAATGATTACCAGCAGAATTATTAAATAAACGGATCATATAAATTAATACTGCACCTGAAAGAACTAATGACAACATATATAAACGGTGAGCCAATACCACTAACTTGGAAAGGAGCATGGATAACACCAATCCACAAAAAGGGAAAAACAGATGAATGCTCCAATTATAGATGTGTCTCGGTCACAAATACTATCAGTAGACTATATGGAAAGATACTGCGAAATATAATTGAAAAGGAGTATGCACCGTATGAGGTACAAGAACAGGCAGGGTTCCGTACGGGACGATCGTGTATGGATCATAATATTTACTCTGGTCCATATAAATGAAAAAAAGTGAAGGGATTAACCATTTTAGAACAAGCACATTTTTTTTACAAAAAAGGCTATATTTGAAAATAGAGTAGGTAACCAAACAAAGAACCTAATACAAAAAATGTCTCTACCTGTGGCGGTTTTTTTTTGTTTTTTCTCACGTTTTTAAAAAATGGCGGGTTTTCGCAAATCCAAGGTTGATCAGCATATACAACAATATAAAAAAGTCACACTTAATTGTATAGAATTTCCAATGCACCTGTTTACAGTATGGCAGAATACGATATGCCAAAAATAGACAACATAAGTTCTTCTTTATATGATTATTAAGGAAAAGTCTAAGTGAAACCAAAACATTTTAAATACTGTAAAGATATTTTAGCTAAATTATACATTAAACTCATGCTATAAAGAGTTTCAATACTTTTGTTATTTGAATGCTTTATAAGTTTTTTATAACTTATAACTGATTTAACAAAATGTTGCAGTTTCAAAGCTCCAACGATACTAACACCACTCCTTAACTAAATTTTCTTTCAGATAACTCTACTAAAACCACTAAAACTATAAATTTACCTCGGTATGCATTAATTAAGGAGTGTAGAAAATTAATGGTTAACGTAACCTAGATATTCCGTTTAAAAAGGAATTATGCGTAATGCAAGTTTCTTAAGTTGCATTGACCTAATTTAACGCTGGATTACATTTTCACCCGCTGAAAAAGCTTGGATTCCGTATCGAAACACTGAAGGAGAATTGGTTTTTCGTATTTTAGTTTAATCTCTATTCAGAAATCAAGAATATTGGTATTTGGGGACCGTGGGAAGACTAAGGAATGTATTAGCACATATTACAATTCTTATTTCCAATTTCATTTTCTAAGGGGAAATTGCTTTGATCAACGTGGAAAAGTTTTATAAAACACATTTTCCTATTGTTTTAATCTCATATTGCATGAATATAATAAAGTTTTTGTGAGCTTCAAATTAAGTTAATACTTAATTTTTCGATATTTTTCTGAAAAAAAAAATTATTCTTAATTTATTTCTAAAATTAGTTTTTGCTTATGATTTTTTCTTTTCATATATTGTAATTCGCAGTAACATTTTTAATTCTACTTAAAAAGTTTATTTTAAAATTTATAATAACCTTTAAAGAGTTTTTAGATATAAATAACAATATAAGCTGATATAGATAACTAAGCAATCCGACACTAAATTACAAAAAGTTTGTTAATATATTCTAAGTTAAATTGAAAACCCTTCTCAGCCTAACTGTAGCTTTAAGTGTTGCAGGGTGTTTTTGGTTAAAAGGAAAGGAGGATAAAATTACATTTTATTACAGCCTTTTTAGACGAGTATTTTAAGATTTCTTTAAATTATTAAGACTATAAAATGGACTAAATATAATAGTGTTAATATTACTTTGAATGTAGTAGACAATGATTCAGTATTAAAACTAAAATAATTTCGGACCTCTAGTGTCTTTTTCTATAATATAATCAGATTAAATAATTAAAAAAAACCAGAGTCGGTTAGGTTAGGTTGCTGGGGTTTGGGATCAAGTTTGATCCCTCACTCGGTGGCCTTGGGCCCATTGCGATACCCCTGTATTGTTGTACCAAACCCTCCTCCGATTCTTTCTTTGCGCTAAAGCACTTCCAGCTCTTTGCAAAGTTCCCGATGTTGCTGGTGTTGACTTCTGCTGCTTCCTTTAGTTCCTCCAAAAAACCTTGCCCTAAAGTTTTAAAGCGTCGGTATTCCAGTGCTGGACAGTGGCACAGCAGGTGCTCGATTGTTTCTTCTTCCTCTCGGTATTCTCTGCAGTAGTCGTCGTTGGAAATCTCTTACGATGTTTATCCCCGTGGGGTAGTTTCCAGTGATGACTGATGACACCACAATAATCGTACTAGGTTCTTTTTGTGTTCTAGTAGTTGTTGCATGGTGATGCTTCTTAAAGCGCCCAAGCTGTCAGAGTATATCACGATATCCCCTATTGGTCAGCAATTTTTTCTCGTAAACTAGCCGCTTCCTTTATGGCATAAACCTCTGCTTGTAGAACATTACAGCCATCCGATAGCCTTGTGGAATGTTTAGGAGGGAAGTTAATCACCGCGACCTTATAGATCTATTGGGTGTTCCCCTCTCTTGAGTTATAACAAGTTATAACTTATAATAACCATCATACAGTCTCAGGGCTTTAACAAAAGCCAGTATCTGAGACGGCTCCACAGAGGGCAGCTGTCCATCCTCGACATCAGCCGTACCAAAGTTCATGGCACGAATGGTCGTCGTCTCGGGCCACTCAGTGATAAGGTATTCTGGTGTTTCCCCATTTTCCCCACAGAATCTGCATTCGCCGTTGTTTCTCAGCTTCAGCGTACTGAGGTGTTCGTTGGGGAGACAGTGTCCTGTTAGAAACCCCGTAACAATCCGAAGATATTCGATAGTTTCTCTGAGAAGAACATCTGTATAGACTGCTATCTCTTGAGTGTTCATTACTCTGTTGCTTTCCCATTTTATGTTGTCGGGATGCGAATCCTTATCTTTTCTCCAAAATCATGCTTGGTGAGCATATAGTCCGTTTTCTGGTCTAGCAGATGTGGACTCATGTTCGCCATGATTTTCCCTATCACTGGCAATATCCTTGAGTGACCGTAGTTGGTCTGGTTCCATAGACTGGATTCCCTTAATCTTAGGGCACCCTTAGCGACCAGATACTTCACGAGCCAGTCGATTTACTGCAAGTCCAAAATTGCTTCTAGCGCAGCTTACGCCGTGTGGTTCCTTGCTCCAGGTGTACTTAGAGCTGCTAATCGCTGTACTTTTGAGAGGTTTTTTCTATTAGTCTCTTTAAGTGCCGCTTCTCACCATACTAGTACTCCATAAGTGATGATTGGTTTGACTATAGCAGTGTACATCCAGTGTATAATGTAGGTTGTAGACCCCATCTCCTTCCAAACAGTTTTTACATGCATAGAATGTATTTATTCCTTTCCTCATGCTTTCCTCCGTGTTCCTTTTTCAGGAAAGCTTCGAATGCAGAATGATTCGTAAATGTTTTGTTTCCTTAACAAGTACAAGTGTTTTCCCTTTCAGCTTTGGTAGCATGAACTTGGGTATCTTGTGTTTTCTTGTAAACAGAATGAGTTCGGTTTTGTCTGGGTTGATGCCCACACCATTCCTTTTTGCCCATTTCGTTAGCTCCTTCAGAGCAGATTACATGATGTCACTGATCGTCTTTACCAACGATCAATATTACCACGTCGTCTGCATATGCATTTATCCTAATTCTCCTCATTGTTAGAGAAGTCAGGATCGGGTTCATTACAATCAGCCACAGCAGAGGTGATGCGCTCTTTTTGGCTGAGCTGTTTCTCATCTTCAAAAAATAAACAGAGTCGGACTTGAAATTATTTTAAATAATAATTAAATAGAGTTGTTTTGTTGTTAAGGTACCCAAAACAAGAAAATATAAGTATAAGTGTGGCATATCATTTTACTTAGGCGACCTCGTAGGCGACCGAGTTCTTTTGAAACCTGGTATAAGAAATTGTTATTTCTTTGACGGATTGGGCGAGCAGTAGATGTTAAATTAACATTCCAGTTCAATCGAGTATAAATAAGAAAATATGCCGATATGGGTTTACGAAATACCTTAGAATCATCTGTCTATATGAACAATATGAACATGGGTATATAAAACTATCAAGACTGGACAATATCACGCGATTGATTGTTGGTAATTATAAAAATTGAGGTCGCGGAATATCGATTGAAAGAGATCAGAAATTAGTATTTACTCGTTATTGTGGTATATTTGTGTATTATTAAGGAGTGATAGGAAAATCACATTACAGTATAAGTTAATTAAATTGTTTATTTACATTGTATAGTTTTTCCCATATAAGGTTTTTCACAATATAGCTGAGCGTGATCCGCCAGTAGTTATTTTTTACTAATATTAACAATAAGACGAATAGATAAATATCAATGTAAACACAAATCACGGCATATATATACAGGGTGAGTCTTAAATTAGAGAAATATTTTCAGGACTGGTAGATATCGATAAAAGAAACATATTTTTTCCCGTTTTTCAAATAAGTTATTTTACTTACCTGAAAATAAAAAAAAATATTTTTTTTGCTTATATTTTGAGAAACACTTTTCTTTTCTGGGTTTTCTTTTTTGTAAATTTAAGCCACTACCTATGTTGCCATATTATTACGAAATTGTGTTTCTTAAGTAAAAATTAAAAATATATCCAATTTTTTTTTCAAAAAAAGTCCAAATTTTGTTAAATCCAAAAATATTTGCACTTATTTAAGACTCACCCTGTATGTTTCCGTCTCTTTGTGGGACATAAAGCTTCCAAGAGATGTTTTCATCTGATCCTATTACGGGCTGTCTGTTTGATCTCTCCCATGTTTTCCTAGTCTCTTGGGCTTTAGAGGTTACTGTTCTTCTCCAGGTATTCCATGACTCTCCGCGTGATGGCGCGTCTCCCCTGTGGATTCCATTCTACTGCCTGTCTTGCGATATCTCTGTGAGGTCTGCATAGAATGAACCCAATACAGCCCCACCCCTCTATACCCTATACAGTTGGGAGTATTTGACTTAATTTTTTTGGTTTTTGTCACCTTGATTTGAAGATCGACTTTATTAGCTTTCTCATGGAGTCTAAGAAGTTTTTGAGACATATCCGAAAGTGAATGGGTAAAGACGCATAGAACGTCTGCATAATGCAGGTCTTCTAGCCTGTTTAAGAGGCCCCGTTGGATCCCCAGTGGTTCTTTCTTTTCTACACAATTCTGTTTTACACCTACTGCAATAGAAATTTTCTCCCCAACTTGACCTTTATGTAATACACAGCTTGTAGCATCACGATAAAGGATTTTAATCATGCGGATTATTTTTTCAGGTACGTCTTTTTCTCTCAAAGCTTTCCAGATGGTTATGTGTTTTATCGTATCGAAGGCTCTTTGAAAATCCACTAACGACATATATTATGGCGATCTCAATAGAATTTACTCAATAGAATTTAAATTAATATATAATAATATTAATTTAAATTAAATTCTGTTGTATGTATATTATTACGTAATACGTATCAGCTAGCTTAATCAAGAGAATCTTGCCTTCTGAGGTGATAATTTTTTGTACCAACACCAATTTTGCTCGCAAACAAGGCAAAGCAAAGGTATGCTTTTGTTCTATACTCATTAGCTATCAAACGATGTAGTACAAGTGCATTGAATACCGGCTGAATAACTTATTCCCAAACTAGCTCAATATGCTCAATAGCAAAATTATATTCTCTTTGTAAATTAGCTTTAACGTAGAAAGACATTGCGACTACCAAAGTGCATATTTGATTATGTAATATTTGTTGGAATTGCATTATCGACTGTTTTGCTCGACTGACATCAAACTGTATCTCAAAACTATCTAATAAAAATACCGTTCTTGCAATTATTAGATATAATAATAATAGTTTCATTTGTTTTTAACTTGAATAAACAACGTACATAAACATATTTAAATTAAGATCATATATTTTATTGAATGTGTGTAAACCAACTTTAACATTAATTAATATTAATTTTTCATTATTATTTGTGGAGAACCTTTATAGTAATAGCAAAAAAAATGTAACAATTATTAATAATATTTTAACAAAGATCAAGGGTTTATAGTAGACGTACGCAACCGTTAAAAAAATAAAGTGTTCATAAATAGTAATAGCATTTAGATGTTTTAAATAGTTTTTTTCTTTGTTCTTTGTCATTTTACCTACTGATTTTTTTCTTAAGATTTGTCTCAAAATGTGTGTTACAGGGGGTTTATCAAAAAAGCGATAACCTTAGTAACATCTACAGATATCTATTTAACTTAAGCAACACATTTTTTTTTAATTGAATTAGAAATAGTATCTTTTATGTTTCATTTCTAGCCGAGCGGTTTTTCAAAAGTAAATATTTTTTTTCTTTCTAATAGTTTCAATCAGGCATTTTAAATAAGTTTTCTTTATTTTTTTTTCGGTTTGTGTTCTTACAACGAAGATATACTTCTTGAAACGACAAATTTTGTTTACCAAAAATCACTGAAAAGCTGGCTTTCGTTTATTATTATAACGTGATAACATTTTACAAAAAATAACTCTTATTCTTTTAGATTTTCTATTTGTCAACTATTCAGGAGATTTTTTCGAAAACTAAATCCGTCACAAACGTATACATATATTTTAATATGCTGATACTTATCAACACTCGAAGAAGATAATAGTTCTCAAGTTGAAAAAAAATCTCTTGAGTAAAATACTGTTATAATGGTAGTAATAATTAGTTAGCTATCAATTAGTCATCAGAGTAATATTATTACGAGTATTATAACTTGATTAATTGAACCAAATTTCATTTATAGGTAATTATTGAGCAATCGTAATATTATTAAAATATTTAAATTAAAAAGTATGCTATATTAAACTTAGTAAGTATGTTAAATAGAGGGTGGCCCTCATACGACGCGAAAGCTCTAAAGAGAATGGCAGTATGCATTGATATAAATTTTGGGAGCATAATATGTATGTTAAATTAAAACATGTCTTAAAATTATAGTTCGATAGCGTATTCCCCCCCCCCCACACCAAAAAAAGTTAAGTTTCATTAAAGAATTATATTAACGCCAGAAGTGTTTACAAAAAATAACTATTTTATTTTGTAGATTTTTCTTGCAGTGCAGTAGCGAAAAACCCATAAGGATTTTTTTTTGGATATAAAGAATTATATTATTATGACTAAAATGTCAGTTGACTGACCGGTACTAAACGGGCACAAGTTTTATATTATATTGTTTTCTAGTGGACCGATTTTGATGATTTTTTAAGAAATGTGTAGCTAAATTATTTGACTTTTTAAAGTATCTCTTTCTAAATTAAAAATGAATGTTCCTATCTGTCAAATATACGAGAAAACACAAAACGTTATTATTTTGGTAAAAGTTTGGAACACTCTGTGGGATATGTTAAAAAATTGGTCAAGTGCGAGTCGGACTCGCGCACGAAGGGTTCCGTACCATTCATTATCTATACAAAGCCGCGTATAAATATGCCGAGGCAAGTACGAGACAAACCCGAAACGAGTATGAATTAGGCTATAGAAAATTCTTTCCAAAAGGCGTACTAATATGCCGAGACGAGGACGAGACCAACCTCAAGTGGAATTCGTCATATTATAGCCTCGAGCCGAGCGATTTAGCCTTGAGCAGAGTCCCTGCCCAGTCGAAAGGCGTTGTCTCGCGGCTATCCATTTTCTGTGGAGCTTTTGGCGAACCATCAAAATTCTTCATAGGGCTATGCGATACTGAGGCAGTATCGATATTTTGGTATCGGTTGTATTGAATATAAAGTATCGATACTTTAAAATATTGATAAATATATTAAAGTATTATTCGATACCATTCAATATTTTAAAAAATTAATTAATAAATTTAAGTATACTGTGTTTTTAAATTTGTCGACGTTTCGCAAAATTTATTTGCATCTTCAGGACACTACAAAGTTAAGAGAGCAAAATACAATCAAAATTTTTTTAAAATTTAACAAGCAACTTAAAACACATATCAGTGGAATTCCACACATATACAATTGGTAAAACTAGCCTAATGTTAACAATTAAATAAAATATATGTATATGTCATAAATTTAATATCGCTTGTAAATAAAAATAATAAAGGATAAGGCCAGGATATAATCAGGATATTTTCTTATTCGCATTTAACGAAAAAAATCGACGATGGTGGCACTGTTTTATACAAAAAACGACCAGGATCAGAACTAAATCAGTCATCAAATGGTCTCAAATTACTAAAAGCACTTGGAAGAAAATTATAATAAATGGAAAAACTAGGGTTGGCAACTTTAAAAATAAAAAATAGAGGATAAAAAGAGGCACAGGCGAAACATTTTTGAAACGTCAAATCAAATGTCGAGAATTTACCAAAAAGTTATATTAGCGGTATGCGATAAATATTTAAAACAAACAAAAATATTTATACTCAAGACTTATTAAAATAAAGCAAACTGTTGTCAACAAAACTTTTTTTCAAGACATAACAATTCTTTAAATCATTGTGGCGATAAACAAATATTTTTTTAGATTTTGAAGTTGGTATGCAGCAAAGTTTTCAATACGTGAGAGAAAAGAGGACAATCAGATCAAAAAGAGGACTGTTTCTGGAATAGAGGACGGTTGGGAACCCTATTTTAACCCCCTGTAGGTACGAATCAAAGCAGAATTGGATTGGTTGATATAAAAAATAAATCTTATTTTTACGAGAGGAACTTCCCCACGAGAGATGGAACATGTTTTTTGAAACACCCTGTATATGTTTGTTTAATTTCAAAATAGGTAAAAAACAAGCTAGATAAATTAAGGAATTCTTGATAAATTTAAATTACATTCGGACTGTTTACATTTAAAAAAACTGGAGAACGCCAACTGAGATACCTGGAGACAACGGCGGGCGGCGGCGGAGCCTTCTGCCAGTGTCGTTTTTTTTTGAATCTTTAATTATTTTATTCAATAATATATTTTGTATGTGGTTTGTATATCTATAAAATTTTTAAATAGAATAACAGAGCGATTTAAGCTTTGCATCCGTGCGGACGCTCCATCCGGACGGAGCATACGCGACCCATGTGAAATTGTTCATATAAGCTCATGGTACTTGCTCGAAGTCGCGGACGCTCCGTTCCATCTGAAAGCGCTGTAAGATAAGAACTAATTCGACTTTATTTATTTAAAAAAATAGAAATTTAAGTAATTAAGATTTAAACTATTAATTTAAATCGACATTTAAATGCCAATAACTAACCTGGAACATATAGTGTAAATAATATATCTGCATTTCTTCATTTCTAAAGTTGTATATTTTTTCAAGGTATTCAATTCGCCACATTATTATTCTATGACTTTCCATCATTGCAGCACGCTTATTAATAATTTTTAAATTATTAATATGTATATAATTTTAAATCTAATTCCCAGTTTTTTAAAACTTCCCCGTAATGTGCTTTCAGAACAGTTTTTTTTAAGCTCAGAGAGTTTTTTTTACTATTTTTTACTATTATTACTATTTTATTTTACTATTTCTATGGCGGGAACTTTAGTATTTTCATATTTGCCATAAATTAAGTTTCTTAGTAGTCTGGATAGTTCAAATTTCTCGATTTTTCTATATCGGATCGTTCCTTTCTTTGTCGATTCCCTTTATTTATGAGAGTACCGTAAGGAACTTCTGATAGGATGGGCACCTTTTTCAACACACTCGATTTGCCTCTCTTATCTTCTATGTATCCTATATGTAAAGAAGCTTGTTTTACATCTTTAATTCCTGTTTAGAGCAGCAATAGCGCATAATTTACGTTTGAGCCGTTAATAACTCGACGAAAAGTTCATTACGTTTATTCATTTTTTATAAAATTTTCATGTTTTTATAAAAGAAATCACTAATAAATCTTTGTATATGAGATTTACCTACCTTGGCTAACTTACCTATACTATTTTAGAGAAGACAAAATTGCATCTGTCTAGTTAGGATGCATAATTAACATTATTAAAAATAAAAGAAAGAATATTTATTTTTATATAAAAATGGGATGTGGAATCCGAGCCACTTGAGACTCGAGGCACTTGTTTTGCGGAGCCGCGGTGTATACGCCACTTGTTAAATAGACGTCCCAATCCTTTTAATGGTTCGCCAAAGGCTCCGGAAAAAACGGAGACAACGCCAGACAACGCCGCGCGCCGTCCGGCTGGGCATAGGCTCGGCTCGAAGCTCATACCCCGTCCAAATATGACGAGTCAACCTCAAATCCGCTTGAGGTTGACTCGTCTCGGGCCTCTCGCACTCGTCTCGACATATTTGTACGCAGCTCAACATTAGACACTATATTATTATAAACTTTTTTTTCGATTTAGCCGAAATTTTGAATACGCGTATA